ATGGAAAAAGATATACGGAAATCAGTGATGGTGTGGAATTGGTTTCCATGCACGTCTGATTAACTCTTTACAGTATTAATTAGGTTTGTAACTGAACTCTTAAAGAGCTTGATAAAACTTATTGACCCTAATCCCTTAATAAAAGATACCGATTCTCACGTTTCCTTTTAACATTCAATTAGTAGACACAAGACATACAGTATATACAAATACGCACACATGGAAAAACAAGACCTGTGGGGCAGAAAGCACATTACATTTAGTATAATTCTTTTTTAAATGCAACCAATAGACAACTAACCAAGTATTTGCAATGGAGATACAGTTGTTTTGATCTTATTTAATTTACATCCTGCAGTTTTCTTACTTGCGCTTGGTGTGGTACCTCTGAACTTTTTTGCAAGACTTTAATATGAACCATAATTACATTGCACAAAAGCATGTGGAGGATGCAGCGCGATGATTTCATTATAAAAGATTGTCTCTCCCCCCTATTGAGCCCATAAGTTAAACTACCAAAACAATAAGTTCCAATTAGACTGGCTAACTACAAAGAGTGATTGATGGTCCTTGCATTGAACACATTTCCTTTAAATTCAAATGATGTGTTTTAACTTTCGAGTCATCAATACAATTTTGCCTTCAGTTAAGCTTAATAAAAACAGGAAAAAAATAACAGCATGCTGGAAAAGCTCCACAGAAAATAAATAGATTGGATCAGGATCACATCAAGTGAGTCACAGTAAACCCAGCGTCCAGACTGAGGCTCCAAGCTGATCAGCTGCCAATACCAACAATCCCGGTAGAGCCAAAGAAGAGCACAATGATTCATGGCATGATTAAACAGCAAGGCATGTCTACCATATGTTTTGTGAATCGGAGATCAACATACTGTACATTCAATGTTACTGCATGTGAGCGAACTGCTCAGTCTGGAAAACATACAATGTTTTAAAGTGGCTTACAAACAACTGTACAGCACATTTAGAGAAGGTTAATCTCATGTGTTTGTTTTAAATCTAATATTCTAAGAATTGTGTTGCATAACTAACCATATGGCTCTCACTTTAAAAGCACCAGTTCATTTTCAATTTTGACTCAGCAGGGCTTTTAGGGAATAGGTTTTTTATTTTGTTATTGTTTTCCATCATCTCTTTCAGCATCACTAAAAATCAGGTTGGACTTTATAAACTATAGTGTATTTTACTTCGTTATCATAGATTGTTGATTTATTGTGATGATTGTCATGTACAGTATCCGCAGTGACTGTTAAATTATGAAACATAAGCAGCAAGGAAAGGAACAACTATTATTCAGAAAGAGACAGAATGTACTTGTTGGAGTTCAGTTTAAATGAAAAAGGATCCTAAAGACAAAGTCAAATGTAATTGGAGCGCCGTCTTGTCTAAAGACAAATTGATTTTATTTATATTCATAACAGACTAATTACATTAAAAAAGTAACCCATTAAATCTGATACTTTTTACTTTGCCTTGGAGACAGTCATGTCAGGTCTTGCCTGTTAATAATTATGATTATTAATATCATAGAGAATCACATATATTGCAATCAACAAATAGTTAGTGACAAGGGTAGAATGGGACATCAATTTTTTTCCTTTTTAATATATATATTTTTTTTATCATTTTCATAACATTCTTGATATATAAGCACAAACAAAACAAATCCTACACTTCAGCTGTCTGAAATGTACATTCAAATATATTTGCATATATTTGTCACCTATTTGAATACACATTTCCATTGTGTTTACCCCACAACAAAATCCCCAGAATGTGCAGGGAGAGATAATGGCTTTCCACTAGAGCTTAACTGTTGCAGTTAAGGAGCACAATTACACAATAGGGCACACAGGCTTATTACACTGCCTGACAAAAGGGAGGATTAGTGAACAGCTGTGGTACTTGGCCAAAAGTGGAATCTTTTTTTAAAAAAAACACTATAATTAAAGTTTCCCAGCATTACAGGCTTGTCTGTGGCAAGATGTGCACATCTCTCACTGAGCAAGGAGGTCCAGATGTAGTGCATGTGACCTCAGATTAGTGAGGAAAGAACTAAAGTGAAACCAAAGTGCATCCTATTTGTGTTGGCCGTGGGCAGCTTTATGTCAAACAAAAGGCTGTTAACAAACATAGCTTAGCCTACAAAAGCCTAGCAATGTCTTTAAACATACTTACACCAAGTCAATATTTCTATTTTTGACACTTGTATCCTCACTTCGCATAGGACTGCAGCTACTGTATGAGCTATTCTGGTATCTTCAAGTTAATTAATCACTACAAATACTGCATGTCACAAAATAAATAAGACATTTGTGGACAATTTCAATTCAGCTTGTATAACTACACTTACCTACATTTAACTATTAGAAATAAGGGCAGATAAGACTGAATCTAAGAAAAATGTGTACCCTGATGAGGGTAGCTTAATACTCACAACATACTGTATGATGGAATCTTCAAATTCCTCTTTTTATCTGGTCTAAACATCCAACATATTCAATTTACTCTCATTATAGTGCAGTTATGTACAGCAAATCCACAAGTGAAGACCAATAAAAGTATATATAATTTAGAATGTATTTCTAAAAATGTTTGTTCTCATAAAGCACATAAGCATCTCATTTGGATGACAGTTATAAGTAAAAAACAACATACAGTTGATCAATATCAGCTTTATAAATGGGTAAGCTAATATAATACAATATTCAAAGTGTATTAAAGAGTAAAGGCATCATGAGATTTGCCGTGTGCAGATAGCAGCTAAAATCAAAGGAATTATTTCATTTTCCAAACCGTGTAAAAGCGATGCAAATGTTTTTTTCACAACAAGTCCTCCAACTCATACGACCAAATAGGTCGATTGTTCAAGCGCTTATTACGACCTATAATCACGTTTTAAAGTTTTCGACCTCTAGTGCTCCCGTTGAATGCAAACGCTCCGGTGGGTCGTATATTTACAAATAACCCTCTCTGTAAAATCCTAAATTGTAGGATAGTTTGGCCATTAAAATGCTTTTTGATTAGATTTCTAGCGAGAAGTGTATATTGTACTTTTATAATCTACGTCCAGTGGATGTGTAGGATCTATAGTTTGATAGATATTATGAAGATGATTTGAGGTCTCACCAGGAGACCGTGTGACGGCCATGTAAAGTTAGCGTCAACCCTCACGGGGTGAAAACAGTATTTCCGGTCTTGAAGTTTTCATAATAAAACCGTATTCCCCTCACTGTCAAATGATTTAACAGTGATATCTGCCGTACTCATCCACTAAAACACATCAGTTTATTTATTATTAATTACACAACATTAATTGGTTTAAATTGTGTGTGCCACCGAAACTTAATACGTGACGTGGATCATAAATATATCAGCAATTAACATCTTCAATTTCTCTTCACACAATACGTCTCCTTGCAGTATCAATAGTAATTCGGCTGACTTTTATATTTGATCCAATTGGTAGATAGGTAAAAAATAAAAAAGTTTTATTTCAATTTCATAACAAAACAATTTCCCGAATTTGGATCAACAAAGTACATCCTATTATCTTATCTTAACAGAACTACGCCTATATTGCATACAGCGTCCATAAACTATGGAGCCGGGGCTGCGGGGGGAGGAGCGAGGGGGCGGGTCAAGTGTCATTTTTAAGGTGGAACTAGATTACAGCCCTCTCTTCACTTGATTAGGACTGCTCCCTCTGCTGTAATTAATGTAAATTACAGTAAAAACCAGAGGTTTATGTGAAATCTTCTTTTTTTGAAATAATGGTTTTTGTGTGCAATTAGGCTATAGGTTTTAATTTTGTATTTGTGCACCAGCTAAAATCTTGCCTAGGGCAGGAAATTGGTCAGGCCCTGGTCTTCGACCATCCTAAACTCCCAAAAAACTATTTGTTTCTCCGAATCGAAGGTTAAAAACACAAAAGCATTGTTCACAATTTAAACCAATCAATGTTGTGTAATTAACAAGGATAAACTGATGTTTTTTAGTTGATGAGTAATGCAGATATCACTGTGTAATCATTTGAACACGAGGGGAATACCCCGTGAGGGTTGACGCCAACTTTACATGGACGCTGCCGTCAATATAAATGAATAGGGGGAAAGACGAAGCATATACACGTTCTCCATGGCGAGACCTCAAATCATCTTCTAAAAGTACAATATACACTTCTCACTAGAAATCTAACCAAAAAGCATTTTAACGGCCAAACTATCCTACAATTTAGGATTTTCCAGAGAGGGTTATTTGTGAATAAACGACCCTCCGGAGCGTTTGCAATCAGCGGGAGCATATTCTTTCTTACACGACCACTAGAGGTGCTACACTTTGGTCGTAATAAGCTGCTGAACAATCGACCTATTTAGTCGTTTTTTGTAGAGGACCTGGGTGTTTGTCAGATGCATGGATGCAGAAGTAAAACAGCTTAACTAATACAAATTAAATAGTTCCACGGTTTTTTTTGCTAGTAGCAGATACCACGGTTAAACAGTAGAGTAGATAAACAGTATCTCTGTGTTTTGACTTGACTTATTTCCACAGAAACCTGCAGTGGATGGGTGGTACGGTGTAACTTCACTCATAAGTAAAGACTTCTGATTGACCTTCCAGTTATTTAAATCAGCTC